TTGTGAAGCTTCTTTTTTTATGGTCTTTAACTTTTAGTCTAAGTAGGAGAATAAACCATTTTTAACACATATGCCAATCCTTCTAATTATATATTTCAAACAAGTCCAGTCTTCCAAGGTCTGGCAGAATCATTGATTCAATCATTGAGCATCCACTAACACAGAAGGCAATGATCCAAAGAAAAGCCACTGAAGAAGTATGTCTATTTAAGTACACCATGCTGACTCCAGGTAAACGCTAACATTCAGGGGAAGAAAATCTGAAGTGCGTTCCCTCCACCCTGTGAGTTACACAAAGGCAGTTCAAGACAGATCAATGAGCGGAATGGATTCTAGGACACTTCACTCCCTGGTTCCCTAATTTGCTGATCAATTCACTCTGCACTTCATTAAATAAGCCTGAGCAGCTTTTGGAAAAGCCACGCCGAAATGGAAGCCTTCTTCCATTCCCTAGCTTTGAAATCCTTATCTCAGTATTTTTCTATTTTTATTTTATTTCTATATTGGCCAACACAGAAATAAAATTAGGTCACACCCAAAAGGACTCAGGCTTGGATCTGCAAGGGCAATTCTGAGGTCCTGAGCTGAAAGGCCAGGGGCAGAAATACAATACCGTCTCTAGTCCAAGGAGAAGATACTTTCATTTCCATTTGTTTCTCACATTCATGGGGCTTGTATAGGCAGCTTTGACAGTAAGTTTAAATACAAATTTGCTTTCAAGGCAAGAATAAAGATCGTCATCATTAACCCAGTTCCCCAGGTACCTAAGCTCCCCTAAAATGATATCTAACTCAATTTTCAGAATTAGAAGCTTCATAGGCCCCTGCCAGGGACCAGTGTTTTGACCTTGAATTTATAAAGCCAGCCCAGCCCTCTTGGCATCTCCAAGGCAGAGTCTTTATCCAAGCAAATGAAAGTGTGTTAGTTGGCATTAGTTCTTTTCCTGACATGTGCCAGTTTCCACTCAGAGACCCCAGCCTCCTTACTGAATCCGCAGACATGGTGCTCCCAGTCTCTCTCTCCTCCGTTTCATCATTTTCCTGGCTACTCAAGCTTTTGCCCTCTCACACTCGGGAGTCTTGGCAGGAAGTTCTCTCACACAAGGGGTATGCAGTCTATAAGCCAAAGGAAACTTACAAAGGTTTCCCAAACTTAAGAGAAAAATTAAAGCACTGTTCTTCTAAAACATAATATTCAAAATCCCTCCCCACCCCCACTGCAAAAGACTTAAAAGCCCAGGAGGCAGCAATGAGGCACAGTGAGGAGTCCCAGATCCCAAATGAATCAGCTGTCCTCTGATCTGCCTGACATCATTCACACTCAGCCTGTAACAAATCAGAGCGTCAGAGAGCACCTTGTTCCTCCTCAGTGACAAGAACCAAACTCCCTCCCCCACAAGTCAGTTGCAACCTCCAACCCTGAGGCCTGGTAGCAGTGAAGACTCTGGCAAAAACTGTAAATACCAACTTAAAAACTCACACTGGGACAGAAATACCATTAACTCGGGAGGTTTGGGCCACTACAGAACACTATCCCCTCCCTGTTCTATAGTGGGCAGGGGATTGGAAGAAAGCATATTAAGATCCCAAATTGGTAAATTAAGGAGCTAAAAATACATGGGCATTTCTGCATTATTATTCATTCCCAAGCCCAGGTCAGGTGAAGGATGACAGTGTTAATGTTAGGGCTCAAAGCATAGCCATTATTCAAATTCAAATTTGACCAATTTAAATAAACTCTGTAGTCCCTCCATAAACAAAGTTCAGCATCCTTTTTGATTCAATTTCTATTACTCTCTAATCACTTGAATAACCTTGTGGTGAGAAAAGCCATAGGAAAGCTAAGAAAATAAGCCCAGAAAGTACTGGTTTAACTTCAGCCAGTAACTATTAATAAAATCATTTGCATGGCAGATGTTACACAAGACATTAAGGTGAGCTACAGAAGAACTCTAAAGAAGTGTAAGCTACTTAACTTTATATGTTTTGTTTTCCCCATCTGTAGAATGCCAACAATTAAGGTGCCTACTATATAGGTTGTGGTAAAGATTAATATATGTAAAACAGAAAAGTGCCTAGCACAGAGGAAATGCTATAGAAGCATTAGCTGTTATTATAGGTCTTGTCCTCCAGGAGCTAGCTCCCAATGTAGAGGAGATAAGCGCAAACACATAAAAAACCATCTGATAAAAACAGCTTGGCCTGAAGAAAGCCAAGTGATCAGGTAAAGCCAAGTGATCAAACAGAACTAAACAACAACAGCTAAGGGAGCCAGAGTAAGCAAAAGTCTTGGTCCCCTGCTTCAGAGCACCTGCCAACTCATTTATCTAGATGACAAAGTATGTCAAACTGTTTTTCTAGCGTAACATTCAAAGGACTAATTCATACCCCAACCAATAGTTTTTCAGCTGCAGGTCACAACTCTTTATTAACTCATAAAATCAATTCAGGAAGTCAGGACCAACATTTTCTTAAAAGGGAAACAGAATGAAATAGAATAGAAAATATCAGAGTGCTTCACGCAGTAAGAACTGTTTTATGAAGTGTGTATGTTTGTGACATCTATGGACAAACTCATGTGGTGGGCTGCAATGTAAAATCTATTTGTTATTAAGGGTCAGAGTCGGGGTGCCTGGGGGGCTCAGTCAGTTAAGCATCTGACTTCGGCTCAGGTTATGATCTCATGGTTTGTGAGTTTGAGACCCACCTCAGGCTCTGTGCTGACAGCTCAGAGAAAATGGAAACAGAAATCTATAACCTGTCAACAAGTACTGAGTCCCACTTTGGGAAACTTTTGTGATATTATCAGGGTCAGTCACAAAAGCCCACACTCCCACAACTAAGAAACCAGCTGTGGTCTATCCCCATCTCAGGCCAAGTTAAGGCCAGCCTTAAGTTTCTACTCAGCATTGTCCATTCTCTAATACTCAAGCGCATGCTCCTGAACAATAGTTAATAGTGATATAATAATGATGACATAACAGGAACCAACATTTATACATTTATAAGTACTTACTATGTACTAGATTCTATTCTAAGCATGTTATACATAATACCCAGGTAGTCCTCATCACAGTCCTATGATATATGTGCTATTATTATTCTCATTATTAAAAAAAAAAAAAAAAAAGAAGGCACAAAGATGTTAAAATCATGCCAGCAGTAAAGGGGAAAGTACACTCTCTTCAATATATTTGCACCTAGTTACCCTCCATATGAATATGTATGCTAGCCAGAAGTATTCCTGTCTTCAGCCAAGTTGGTGAACTGAAGTAATCTCTAGAATCAGTGATATGAACCATTGTGCTATAAATACCTTTCAGCAGAAGATTCTGACAACAGCAGCAAACACACTTCTCTAGCCTGCTGTGCAATAATAAATTGGGAGATGAGACAGAGCATGAAGATCCTTAAATAGTGCTAAAGGTTAGAAAATACTTGATTTTTAGAGAATGGGAGTCATATTTCACGTCCTTCATCTGACCCAAAGAAGATATCACTCTTACTCATGGGTTTAACATCCCCACACAAAGCACTTTCTTTAAACTTACTGGCATTATAATACATTTGTGCCAATATTTCTGTGGCTGTGTCAGCACAGGGCTTAACATTTCCCTGGGATTGGATAGCGCTCAACAATTTGAGGTATGGAAAATTAAAAATCTACTTTTTCTTATTTGTTCACACAACTATTTATCGACTGCATTACTACCCTTAGGCCTGGCAAGAAGAGTCACTGCCTAGGCTTCTCACTTTGGCAGTTCTCCAAAATAACAAACACACAAAAAATAAATTCATTAAAGAAATGGGTTGCCTCTATCACACTTGTGATCTGGAATTCAGTACTGACAAAGCAGAACCCTCAAAATCCATTCTCATGACTTATACTGTTCAAATCCCAGGAAAACACTTGCCCACATGTTTCTTCCTATATATATTTTTTTCTTCCTATGTATATTTTAAGAAGACAACCATGTCACATTGCTATTATGGACTGTGAAACTGCAAACATCAGAGAGAATTCGGCTGAGATTATAAAGTATCTGAACAGCAAAGGGCCTTAGAAGCAAAAAGACAAATTAATTAACCTGTCAAATCCTTCCTCCTCTCAGATAACATGAATAAAATAGGTTTCTTGGCTAATCCAAGTATGGTTCCATATACAACCCAACAACTATTTACTTAATTTCCTTCTGTTCAGATTCATGGTTCTAAAGATATTCATCATTTACTTCAGTATTCATAACAGAGCACATGGCAGCTGAAGAACATTTTGCAGAATTAAGGAATTCAAATCAACAGTGAATTTATTTATGTGCAGGTCTAGACATAGCATATGTAAGGCCATAGGCTAATTTTCTATGCTGATAATTGTATAGTTAATGCTAAAATTAAAACGTTATAAAAATATATACTTAGGATTGCCCGGGGGGCTCATCAGTTGAGTGTCCAAGTCCAACTCTTGATTTCAGCTCAGGTCATGATCTCACAAGTCATGAGTTTGAGCCCCATGTCAGGCTCTGCACTAACAGCACGTAGCTTGCACGAGATTCTCTGTCTCCCTCTCCCTGCCTGCCTCTGTCTCTCTGTCTCTCTCTCTCAAAAATAAACATTAAAAAAATATATATACTCAGATGTATCTATAAATCACAAATTTTTTAAATTTAGCTTAAAATTTTTTTAATATTTAAAAACAATAATAATCTTAAAAGGATGAAAATTTTCAGTTTTTTACTTTATTTTTTTATTTTTTTTTTAAATGTTTTATTTATTTCTAGGAGAGAGAGAGAGAGACAGCGTGAGCAGGGGAGGGTCAGAGAGAGAGGGAGTCACAGACTGAAACAGGCTCCAGGCTCTGAGCTGGCAGTCAGCACAAACCCCAACACGGGGCTCGAACCCACGAACCGCGAGATCATGACCTAAGCGAAAGTCGGACGCTCAACCGACTAAGCCACCCAGGCGCCCCTACTTTATATTTTTATAAAAATAAAATTCAAACTTGTGCTCACTTTGGTAGCACATATACTAAAACTGAAATGATCCAGAGGAGATTAGCATGGCCCCTGAGCAAGGATGACACACAAGTTCATAAAGTATCCCATATTTTTATAGTTTGCAATATATCTTTGAAAACTGAAAAAATATATATATTCAAACTTGGTACTCCATGAATACAATTACATTTTCTTTTTAAATCCTATAGATCACCATAATAATGAGTACGAGATATAATCATGACAGAGACAGAAAAGCAGGAAAGTAGAACTTAAACAGAAAATCTACAAGTAAGTTGGTCTGCTTAAATTAAAAAACAAAACTAATGAAAGTGAACAGACTTCACTGCACACAGAAGGCACACATACAATTATTAGCACTAAAGAAAAGGCTGAATAAACAGGAAATAAGCCATCATATTCAAAGAACAGAAGTAAATGCCAATATAGATGCATGTATAATTGTTCTTAATATTATCTATCTACTGTTTAGCCAGATATAAAGGCTTTTTTTCCCCTCCTGTGGTTTAACAGTGATCACAGAAAACAAAGAAAAATTTATAGGTTTAATGTAAATTATTTTGAAATTTGATGCTAAAATGGCTAAACATTTGAGCTGGTTGAAAATGATGAAACAAATGGTCACTGGCAAGAATAAAGATTGAAATTATTAATTTTACTGATAAAAAAGTAAGAAAAAGTATACCTAACTTTTAAAAAATATATCTATAACTCAATTCTATAGATTATAACAGGGACAAAAGTCATGTTAAACAACTTTGTTAAATGTATTCAGTTACTTAAGAAGGAAAATGACAAAGTAGAAATGATAATTTCATTAACTTGAAACAAAATACAGGTTCTAACTTATGAGAGAACTAAGGAAGAACTCTAAATTTTAGGCAGTAAGATTGTCAAACTTTCACCTGCAACTATGAGAGTTATGGAAACAAAACTAGCTATTCTGCTACAAAGCCCCATAAAACTAGACAAACTATATGAAGCAGTGGTTTACAGACACTGAGAAAAGGCAACACAAAAATGCAAACTCAGAAAAAAGGGAAACATTCGCGTTGTCCCAGCCCTCTGCTTGGGAATAATTTTCTTACAGAGACACAGACAGCTATAGTTTAAGCAAAACATAGCAGTTCCACTAAGCTGAGAAGGCACACGTTAGAATGCAAAGTAGCTGATCAAATACACATTGAACATATATCAAGAAAGACCACAGGCTAGGCCATGAAAGAAGTCTCAAGAAATTTCAAAAGACTGAAATCCTATAAAGTATGTTATCTAAACACAAAAGAACTCAAAATCAATTACAATTTTTACACAATTTCCCAACATCTGAAAATTAAACCACACTTCTAAATACACTATTGATCAAGGTGAAATGAGAAAGGAAATCAGAAAATATTTTAGATATTTTTAAAATGACTACACAACATATTAAACCTTATAGCAGGCAGCTAAAGGAGTGCTTAGAAGGAAATTATAGCTTTAAATGCTTACATTAAAAAAGGAAAATCTAAAATCACTAATTTATGCCTTATATAAAAACTGAAAAAAAAATTTTAAATAAAAAATCAAAATACAAGACTACATAAAAGTAAAAGCAGAAATCAAAGACTGAAACACTGTCTGTCAAGTATAACTCAGTTAAAAACAAACAAAAAACAAAACAAAACAGAGACAGAAGAGCCCTGTCATGAGCTCTAACAGCAATCTTAAAGGTTCAAGACATGCTTCTAAAAAGAAATCAATGACCAAAAAAAGAAAGAAAAAATTAACAAAGCCAAAAGCGGGTTCTTTGAAAATATTAATATAATTAATAAAAATCCTAGTAAGACAGGGGCACCCAGCTGGCTCAGTCAGTAGAACATGTGACTCTTGATATTGGGGTTGTGAGTTCAAGTGCCACGTTGGGTGTAGAGTTTACTTAAAAGAAAAAAGAAAAATCCTAGTAACATAAATGAAGAAGCAAAGGAGAGAAAACATAAATTATCATTCTTAGGAATAAAAGATGGGCTATAGTAACACTTCAACAGACAACAAAAGAATGAGAATACCAGAACAATTTATGCCAATACCTTAAATTAAAAAGCTCAAAAACTATCTTACCAAAATTGACTTAGGATATGGACAAAATGAATTATGCTAAGTGACATAAGCCAGACATAAAAGGGAAAATACTGTGTGATTCTACTCACATGAAGTACTATAACAGATGAATACACAGAGAGAGAAAGTACAATACAACTACCAGGGACTGGGTAAAAGGGAGAATGGTAAATTATTTCTTAAAGGCCACAGAGTTTATACTTGAGGTGATGAAAACGTTTAGAAATATAATGGTGATGGTTGTACAACATTGTGAATGAACTTAATGCCATTAAATTGTATATTTGAGAATGTGTACAATTCATTGGAAAAATGTTATATGTATTTTATCACAATCTTTAAAATAAAAAATAATAATTCAAAAGGAACTAAGACCCAAATGTAAAGGCTAAAATAACAATTTCTAGAAGAAAACACGGGAGAAAATCTTCATGATCTCAGGACAGACAAGGATTTCTTGGAGAGAAGATGAATACTCACAAATTGGGCTCACAATAAAAAATAAAAATTCACAAGCTGAACAATATCAAAATTTTGCTCTTTGAAAGATACCATTACAAATATTTTTCAAAGGAAAAAGGCAAGCCACAGACTGGAGGAATATAGTCACAATATATCTGACCAAAGATCTATATCTGGAATATATAAATATCTCTTACTCAGTAATAATAATTAAAACCAAACAATTCATTTTAAGGGACCAAATGACTGGAGCACACATTTCACAAAAGAAGTTATACATATAGCCAATACGTACATGAAAAACATGCTCAACATAATTTTTCATCTGGCAAATACAAGTTAAAACTATAATGAGATACCACTACCCACCTACTAGAATGACTAAAATTTAAAGTCTGACCATAACAAGTGTTAGTATGGATGTGGGCCAACTAGAACTCTCAATATCACTAGTGGGAATATAAAATAGTACAACCATTTTTGGAGAATTATGTAATGGTTTTTATAAACTTAAACAAACACTTAACATTTACCATTTGATGGGAAGACAAAAAATAAGAAATCTGGCAGTTTGGCTCTTTCACTTTTTTTTTTTTTTTAATGTTTTATTTATTTCTAGGAGAGGGAGAGACAGCGTGAGCAGGGGACATTAAGAAAGAGAGGGAGTCACAGACCGAAACAGGCTCCAGGCTCTGAGCTGGCAGTCAGCACAGTGCCCGACGCGGGCCTCGAACCCACGAACCGCGAGATCATGACCTAAGCGAAAGTTGGACGCTTAACCGACTAAGCCACCCATGCCCCATGGCTCTTTCACTTTTTAAAAGATTAAAAATATTTTAGTCAAAAGAATTTCCACATAGCAGATATAATGAAATTGACACTGCAATATAAGGAAATCAAAGAAAATGTAAAAAGTACACCTGCATCACGTATTCATTTTCTGCTGAATAACAAATTACCACAAACGTAGCCACTTTAAACAATAAACCTTCACTATTTCAGTTTTTCTGAGTCAAAAATTTAAGCACAGCTTAGCTAGGTCCCTCTGCTTAGGGTCTCACAAAGTGAGACTTTCAGTGTCACCTAGGTTGTATTTTCATACAGAAGACTAGGCTGCAGAAGAGTCTACTTCTAAGCCCAGTAATGTAGTTGGCTGAATTCATTTCCTGGTGGTTGTAAAACTGAGGGCCCCAGCTGCTTGCTGGATATCAACTGAAAGCCACCATTACCTCCTAGAAGCTACTGTGGTTCCTTGCCACATGGGCTTTTCCAAAATGGCTGCCTACTTCATCAAACCAGTACAGTCTCTGTGGTGAGCCTACTAACTACACAAAGTCTTATATACCATAAAATAGTCACAGGAGTGATATCTTATCACATGTACTATGTTCTGTTGGTTAGAAGCAACTCAAAGGCTCTGTCCACATTAAAGGGGAGGAGGAACCCACCAAAGTGTGAACACCAAGAGGAGGAAATTATGGGGGCCACCTTAGATTACGTTCACCATACATGACTATAAAGAAGAGTCACTGCCAAAATAATCCTAAACTGATTTCTATAGACTACTTTGGGGCCAGCAACATATTAAGATTTAATATGGACATACTGCTATTGTTGGTTTTCTTTATAATATCCCAGCACTGAAAAGATTAAAGATCTTAAGAAATGTTATAAGGCCCTAAACATTGCTTTTAAGAAATGGTGAAATTTCAATAAAGGGGACAGTAATTTATAAGATGATATTACAACATTGTGTAATACCTTCTATGATGACAATTAATTAGGAAACTCCATCACAAAGTTTGATTGCGAAATTCATGGTTCATCTGCATCTATTTAGGTTCACCTCTCAATAGAACTTAACTTTTTAAAATGATGTTAATAAATAAAATGGATGAGAGGGAGGCAAGATAGTGGAGAAGTAGGGAGCTCCATACATTTCACTCGCCCCCATCTCTCAAACGGAGAAGGCCTGAAGCCATAGGAACCCTTACAAAATCCTGGAGTTTGGGAGGAAAAGGAGACAGAGTCCGCTAAGAAAACAACCTTATAGGTACGTGAGTGCGAACTGGGGAAGATAAAAACGGCTGGGTCCCAGAGACACGGAGAGGGGGAGGGACCCCCCTTTGCGGGGATCGCGGGGAGTCGAGGGGAAAAGAAAGAGCGGCTGAAACTGCTCAAACTGTCCCTGGAGAAGAGAAAAACCTCGGCTTGGGACACAGAGTGATCGGTTCCCAGCTGTGCAGCTGACTTTAAGCTGGATGTCCCAGGCCCAGGTGACGCCAGGAGAAACGGCTCCTCTACTCTACAGCTTGACCCGGAGGGGAAATGGCCTACCTGAAGCCGCTCCACAGCCCTTCTAGCTTGGCTTGATCCCGAAAAGGTGGCTGGCTTGAAACTGGTCAGAGGGACTCTGCCTTCAGGTTTATATTTCCCACGGTAACGATGGGGCGTGTGGACTAAGATCTGGAAACCAGGCCTGGCTTGGGATATAGAGCACAACCCACCTTGGCTACGCCTGTAGCACAGGG